TATAGCATGTATAGTATTTGTCTTTGAATTGATAATGAAAAAAAAAACTCTTCCCAGAAAAAACAAACAAACAAATAATCTTAAAAACAATGACTTACTTTGCAACTTTTTTTACTGATGTTTTGAAGAAAAAAAGGGTTTGACATTTTGATGCGAGGTTCTTTGGAAAGGTTATGAACAATAAACATTTTACCTGTTGTACAAAGTTCCTTTAACCTCAGTTTGGAGAAATTAAGTTTAATTTTGACCAAACAGCAAAAGGAATTTCCAAAATCTTAAAATAACATTTACCTCTACAATTGTATCAGTTTCTGTGAACTACATTTTGTAAACCCACACAATTGTTATTTTTGCATCACAACTTGACTGAAAGTGGAAATAGCAGTAGCTGTATCACTTAAGGTACAGCCGTGTCACATTCTGCAAGAACTTTACAATATTCCTGCAGTAATAAATGACAGTGGTGTAAAGATCTATACAGTAGAACACAATACAGTGTAAATAATTTAGCCCAAGTGTCCCCAACTTCTCATTGTTTGGATTTAAAGCCAACAGGAGCTGTTTTATGAGTGCTGTCATGTTAGATCAGTCTGCTCACTGAGGATGTGGAGCTTTAAGACCCACCTGATCATTTTCATACATGCAGCACCTCTTGGTTCTGCATTGCTTGCTTCATCTCTGAAAGCTCACATCTACGTGGGATGTGGTTGGCTCCATCAGTGATTTTATGAACAGTCAGAAGCAGCATAAAAACAGTTTATTTGTGGTCATTTTGCAGAACTGTTTTCAAGTGCTTTTGTTAGGGTTAGAAAAAATATCTGAACATAGGCCTACAGCAGTAAGAGTAGAATTACAAGAATCAGCAACTGAAAAAATGACCTGAAGTGTAATTTTTGTTTTCACCAAAAGCAACATTTTGTTCCTTCAGGTGGACGGAACAGGAACTAAAACTTGGCCAATGAAAGCAGATTATGTTTTAGGTTCAATATCTTAGTTCCTGTCAAGTCTAGATAAAAAAACATTTATAATTTACTGTATATAAACATGCCGGCACGGTGGATCAGTTGGTGATGCCTCTTAGCAAGAAGGTCGCTGGTTCAAATCCCGGCCTGGGGACCTCTCTGGGTAGAGTTTGCATGTTCTCTCCGTGCATGCGTGGGTTCTCTCCGGGTACTCCAGCTTCCTCCCACAGACCAAAAACATGACTGTTAGGTTAACTGATAACTCTAAATTGACCCTAGGTGTGAGTGAGAGTGAATGGTTGTTTGTCTCTATGTGTGGCCCTGTGATAGACCTGTCTCACACTGTGACTGCTGGATGTGGGCACCAGTGACCCACACAACCCTGAAAGGAAGGTGTACAGAAAATGGATGGATTTATATGTTTGCAGGAACAGCTTTGAAAATGTGAAGATTTTAGGACTGTAAAAAATCTGGTTAGAATTGGGACCACTTTGACAAGTAGTTCAGTAGTCTGGGTGGACAAACTTCCAAAGCAAATATTGCCTTTTTTAAAACAACTAATCTGCAAAATTCTACACTGAATAAATATTGGTGCAAATGATTGAGGTGGGTGAAAATGATTGTGTAATTAAAATATGAAAACAATGTAAAAGCTCAAATCTTAGGTTTGGGAAAGCTCTCATCTCCATAACAAAAAAAAGTCCTAACCGGGCACAACCTGCTCAATCACCATAAAATGACGGGACTCCATGACAACGGTCTGTGTGATGCCTGTGGCATTGAATTAAACCTTTTTGTACCACTTAGACCACTGCTTGGCTCTGAGCAGTCAAAGGACAATAATTCTTGGAGACACCTTTATGGATCCTGAGCTCAAAACACTGAGTGTTTCTAACCTCGTGTCCTTCATCCAAGGGACACGAAGGTTTGAATAAAGACCAGTGTCCTTTTAGGGAAAACAATGGACCCACTTATGGGGACTCACCATAACCAGAAAGGTTTATGAGACTGTGTTTGCATAAAGATCTACATTATTTTAAAGATTAGAGTCGTTTTAAGACATAAACATCCATTTCGGTCTGAGCTGCATTTTGACTTATATAAGGGTTATTGGAACTGAGCTACAAAAGGTAGGACACCTCACTTCACAACTTTGAACAATCTTTTTTGAAACTATAAGATAAAAAATAAATAGAAATTTCACACAAATTACAGTTTATTTAATATGACACCTTTGGAATGAGTGAATATACAAAATAAAGGCAACAGAACTTCCATCTCATTCTCAACTATAGGCTCATCTAAATCAGTAAAACAGCATCAAGAGACATTCAGATAATGTGAGCGTGGGGACTTCATGATAAATTGTTTAATATAGTAAAAGCAGTTTTGCATACAGGCTCCCTATAGACAAAGGCACAACCACTGAAAAGCATCTTCAAGCTTGGCCTGGTTCTCACAGAGTGCAGGGTTCATGTGGAGTGAGGTGAACATTGCGGACTACATTAAGACCAAAGCAAGAGTAAACACTGAACAAATGACTTCATATAGGAGCCATCCATTTTTACTCCTCGCATAGAGCAGTCTCTGTAGCACGGAAAATCAAACGAACCTGAGGAGAAAGATGACGAGTCCTTTCACATACATATGACATACAACAGATACAGGCTTCAGAGAGCCGGAGGGAACTTATATACGTGCAACTTCAAAACCAAACATGTGCATAGCAAAACGACTAGTTACAAGTTGAACATCTGAAGAAGCAAAATATCGCTTCATTTGATTGTCAAGCAAAGTAAGGCCCACTTGATTTAAAAAAAAACATTACACAACAGTGATCAACTAGAAACAAAAGCAATCCCTTGTTTTTAACATATCACAATACGAATCAGTCATCTTAAAGCAAATCAACAATAAAAATACGGAATGTTTTCCCTCAATAACCCCATAATTATCTGCAACAGAAAATACAGGAACAGGATTGAGACCTTTAGGCACTTAAAGAAATGTTCAGCAGGAGTAAAAAATAGTGCAAAGCTGCTTTTAAGGCAAAGGAATGATACAGCATGCGATTAGAAATAAAATAAAATAAAATTATGTGGAAAGAGGATAAAGGCAGAGAAAGGTGGTTATTTAATAAATGACTCCATGAGCCAGGATGTGTCTGCAGAAAGTGCAGAAAGGCTTGAAATTCCAGTGCATATTTGTCTTTGGTGTATTGAGTAATTTAAAAAACATAATGTACAAATTAAAGGATTTATATATTTCTCTATATTTTAAGGTGAACTTAAAGGAGATCTCATCTACCTAAATTTTGCGAACAATCATGCCTAGAGGGAAGCAATGATCGAGAATCGTCTTTGTTTCTGATTCATTAGGTTTTAAAACATAAAGTCAATCCCAGATCAGTGCTCTCCTCTGTTACATTGAACAATTATAGACTCTGGTGATTAGACATGGCTGCAGCAGAGTGCAGCTCTGCCACTGTTCCTGAGTCAGTGGAGTGTGTGAGCAACCCTGTTTGAGGCCGATCGGATGGTTTTCTTTATTGGTCAGAGCTTGTTGGAGGCACCAGCTTTGGAGGGTTCTGTCCTGATGGTTTTTCAGGCACCTCCAGCGCACCTTCCCCGTCCCTGACGAACTCGGACGCTGCCTGCCGCTCGCACAGACTGCCCAGCAGCTGAGCCGTTTGGAAGACGGACGCCTGACCGGCGGGCTGCAGGGACCGGACCTTCTGCAGGTTCTGGAGCGTCCTCAGCATCTCGGCGGACACAATGGGCAGGTGTCTCTCCTGGATCAAGCTGGTGCTGGCCGGACGGAGGACGGTGTCGCGCTGAGCTGGAGGTCTGGGAACTGACCTGGTCCGCTGCGTGGGCGTGGCTCGATTGGAGGCGAGCGACATTTTCTTTTGAGGTGGCTGGGAATCCTCTTCATCCTCCTCTTCCTCCTCCTCCCCTGACTGGTCACTGCAGACAGTGCTGTCAGAGTTGTCACTCATACCTTCATCGTTTCCACTGTTGTCCTGATCACCATCTTCTTCCTCTTTGATACCGTCTCCATCTGTGATATAAACCATGTCTTTGGGAAGAGAGGTGAACTGGTAAACAAGGCGCTGACCTTCCACCTTGTTCAGTATGCCCCTCTGATAGTAGTACCTGCACAAATACAAACAAACACAAACCTAACGTAACTGTTGTAGCGTTCAATAAATAACACATCAACCACATTGAATATTCTGATCTATAGATGCATTTTTACCAAAAAACACTATAAAGTGGGCAATCATGTAATTCTTTGTGTACATGTGCACATTTGTCTGTTAGCAAAATATGTCATGACCCAGTGGACAGATTGTAACAAAGGTCTCAATGTAATTACTGGATCATCAAGATGGCTGCCACGTGTGAGGAGAAGAGACCCAGGTCTGTTTTGCCAAAGAGTTTTAGGAAGTCATACCTGAGTGCTCTTCCCATTGTCTCATAACTCATATCCGGTTTGTTCTTGTGTTTTCCCCAAAGTCTGGCCACTGCTTTCGAGTTGACCAGCTTGAAGATTCCAGCCTGCGGATCGGTCCACTTGATGTAGCGAGGACAGACTTGTCTGTCCTGAAGCAGCTCCATCAAGAACTGCCACAGGAAAAGAGTGTGTCCTCCTGAAACCCAAAACATATAAAGCTTTATGGATAAAGAAGAAGCAAAAACATCCCTCAGGTTAAATAACTTTTTGAGTATTTGTTTAAAAATGAGGAAAAATCATTACCAGATTACAGCTGAATTAAAGCATCTGAATCAGGGTAAATAATGACAGAGTCAGATTTAGAAATACAGCAGGTAAAATAAGTATTGAACACGTCAACATTTTTCTCAGTAAATATATTACTAGAGGTGCTAATGACATGAAATTTCCACCAGTTGTCGGTAACAACCCAAGTGATCCATACATACAAAGAAATCAAAAACGTCACTGTTGGTATGGTGTTTTTGGGCTGATGTGCAG